AAAAGTCACAGGGGCTGCATTTAACAACAGCTAATCATCTGTGTACGAACTCTCACACAACTCATGTAGTATAATCCAAGTCTCATCTATCTAGTTGTATACTCAGTACTTCCCAAACAAATTTTACTAAAACCTTGCAATTTAAAAAACTTGACCATGTGGAGCATTTAGTGAATACAGAGTCAGGTTATCCAATCAGAACTTGGTGGAGACCAAAATGAAGCTAAAAGGAGAGTGAATGTTGGAATTGCATTCATGAGGTGGTCAGAAACACAGCTCCACATAAATGATCATGCTGCTCCATATCTGCTGGATGTGACGTGTTCACAGCTTGTTTCACTGCTCGCTGTATTTATTCTAACTAATTTGTTTGTCACACAAGCAGCGTATGGCTCTATGGATGGCAATGCAATTTGGTCTGTTGATAGCTCTGTCCACCATTTTGGTCCAGACTGATAGATCTCAATAATTATTACAGTAGATAGATTTCCGTGAAAAATATGCACAGACGTTCATGACCCCTCAGGTTAAATCATGTAGTGCAGGGGCGTCAAACTCATTTTAGTTCATGGACCACGTACATCCCAATTTGATCTCAAGTAGGCCGCACCAGTAAAAGCATTGCATAATAGCCTATAAATAACAACACCTCCAAATTTTGACCTTTCTGATTGTGTGAGGAAGCACAAATGCTTTCTGAAAATGTTCATCTATTTACAAACAGATGATAAATAGCCTGAGATATTTTCAGAAAAATAAATTCAGCTTCAACAGTATGTCTCAGTTTTTCCACATTTAGTCAGTCTACTTCTCACTGTCAATACATGTGCATTTTTCCATACATTTCCACTCCTGTGTCGTAATGTCTGCATCACCACATAACCAAGCTAAAGTGGAAGCTAATAAAGAAGCAGGTTCAGTTATCCCCTGCCTTACAAACCATTTACAAATTAAAACTTTATGAAGCTCCTTAGCAGCAGGGTTCCACCAATATTTTTTTAAGATGAAGGTCCGATACAGATTTTACACAATGTTCAATATCTTTAAATTTGACCACAGTAAGTATTTATATTTATTTTAGAGAACTATATTCTTCTCAGGGTGGAACTGTCTTTTACATGAAGTACCTCATCACTGTTTAACCTGGGACCTCTGAGCCTTCACACGTGCATCAATATTAGGTGTACAAAGTCATTTAGTGGGCTGGATGGGACGGTTTTAGCCTGTGGGCCATATGTTTGACACCCGTCATCTAGCACCAACACTAGTACTTTGGTTTACACTCAGATGCCTGCAAACACAACTGCATTTCCACAAGCCTCAGTTACACTTGGTGTTGAGTGCTCATTGGTGGTAAAAAATATATATCATATATATTATATAAAAATATGTGGCTTGATCTGCTGGCTGTCTAACCTTGTCTGTGTTTTACAGGAAATCCAAGTCTTCACTCAACCATAAAACCACTGCATGTAGTGATAATTTTACTTTTATATATTTATATGTTAGTATACTTATTTATATGTTAGTATACTTATTATTCTAAATGTACTCTAAGTCAGTGGTTCCCAACTGGTGGGTCTCGGTCCAAAAGAGGGTCATGGGTCCATCCTGAATGGACTCATGAACGTGTCAAGTTAGAAAAACACATTTTATTTTGAAGTACAGTGAATTTCCAGCATGGAGTTTTATTTTAAAGTGCTGTTTCCTGCAGTAGAGTGAGTGACTTATTGACAGCTACTTAACAGAGACAGCAAACTAGCTTAAACACGGCCAAACGCAAGTATGACACTGAATTAATTTAACTGTGTGGACCTTGAATTAATGACTAAGGAGAAATCTGGGTTGTTGGAAACCAAGTACTACTGTACTTTTATTCATTCAGAGGCTTAGTATTGGAGGAGCTTGGAGAGACTGTAGTGAGATTTACAATACGTTTTCAAAAACACATAATCATGCATTTAGTACTCATTCCCACATTTCTTCAGAAATTACAGTCGACCAAAGCAGACCATGTCATGTACTCATTTATTGGGCCTTATCACATTACATTCATTCCATAGAAAATACATTCAAATGTGACACCTATGTTCAGAAAGTGCCGGCTTGTCAATGAAAGCTGGAGCCAATAAAGTTTAAAGCATGTGTTAAAAATAGAAACAACTTCTCCCGTTTTGCTTGTTGCAATACAAATATTGTTGATGTGTCAGCGCACACTATAAAAATATATTTATATCATTCTGAAAATGGAAGTCAGTTACTGTTTTCTGGCTCTCAGTCACCAGTGATTTTATTTATTTATTTATTTAATTATTTATTCATATATTTTCATGTGTATATTTATATATATACTTGTTCATTTTTAAGCATATGGCATAGCACATTGAGTACCGTTTATAAGACGTGCTGCTTTTGAAATCTGAGCAGGATTTCTCACACATTGTGGATTTTTTTTTTTAAGAGTAAGAGTAAATTATCACCAGCTTTAAATGTTTGGTAGCTCTTCTTACAACAAAGCAATAAAACAAAAAAAAAAACAGTTTTCACATTCAGTATGATTAACTGTCATAAAATAAATGTATAACGATCACTACTGCTAAAGGTAACCTCCAATCTATAACACGAGTGTAACGCCTAATTCCTCAGTGATCTTTGGGGCAAGTGTTGCACAGCGAAGTGCTTTTTGGATTTCTGCATCGAGTCCAGTGTTAAGAAAACATATCCACAACCAAATTAGTCAACATGTGCACTGCACACCCGAGATAAATAAATGCTGTTGAGATAAATCCTCTTCTCTCCTTGAGTCAGTGCCTTCAAGAGGGATTATTCATCTTCTTGAATACGAGGAGCTGAGTCTTTTACCTCTTCATCGTTGAAAACAAGATTCCTCTAACATACTGTAAGTCCAATAACTTACAAAAACGTGGAAACACACAGTATCGTCAGCAGGTAGTTATAGCCTGCACATTGCATTTTCCCCTCTGACAAAGGGCTAAATGTTTTAAAGTTTTTATGTATAAAATAGTATTTTTCTGTAACTGTGATAGCAGCAGAAGAATTTTAATGATCTGATTTCTCATAAATCTGTTTTGCACAAAATAAGCTCATGTAACACATTTTGCAGTATTGTGTAATATCTTTTGGGTAACATGTTCTTTCACTGGCAACAAATCACCCGGCGCAGTCGGACGAGTCTCTCTGTCGTCACAGCTTTTATACCGTCCTCATGTTAAGGCATGTGCACATGCCTACACAGCACATGTGCATAGAGCAGGATAAGAAGTGCTTTTCATTCAGCCAAAATGAAAAACATAACGCCTCTTCTATAATGCATGAAGCTGCTGAGGTTTGACAGAAAATGAAAGAACATGAATATAAAATTAAAATAGTAAAGACACTGATTTCTTCTCACTACAGCTTCGACCTACAGTACAGGCCAAAAGTTTGGACACACCTTCTCATTCAATGCGTTTTCTTTATTTTCATGACTATTTACATTGTAGATTCTCACTGAAGGCATCAAAACTATGAATGAACACATGTGGAGTTATGTACTTAACAAAAAAAGGTGAAATAACTGAAAACATGTTTTATATTCTAGTTTCTTCAAAATAGCCACCCTTTGCTCTGATTACTGCTTTGCACACTCTTGGCATTCTCTCCATGAGCTTCAAGAGGTAGTCACCTGAAATGGTTTTCCAACAGTCTTGAAGGAGTTCCCAGAGGTGTTTAGCACTTGTTGGCCCCTTTGCCTTCACTCTGCGGTCCAGCTCACCCCAAACCATCTGGATTGGGTTCAGGTCCGGTGACTGTGGAGGCCAGGTCATCTGCCGCAGCACTCCATCACTCTCCTTCTTGGTCAAATAGCCCTTACACAGCCTGGAGGTGTGTTTGGGGTCATTGTCCTGTTGAAAAATAAATGATCGTCCAACTAAATGCAAACCGGATGGGATGGCATGTCGCTGCAGGATGCTGTGGTAGCCATGCTGGTTCAGTGTGCCTTCAATTTTGAATAAATCCCCAACAGTGTCACCAGCAAAACACCCCCACACCATAACACCTCCTCCTCCATGCTTCACAGTGGGAACCAGGCATGTGGAATCCATCCGTTCACCTTTTCTGCGTCTCACAAAGACACGGCGGTTGGAACCAAAGATCTCAAATTTGGACTCATCAGACCAAAGCACAGATTTCCACTGGTCTAATGTCCATTCCTTGTGTTTCTTGGCCCAAACAAATCTCTTCTGCTTGTTGCCTCTCCTTAGCAGTGGTTTCCTAGCAGCTATTTGACCATGAAGGCCTGATTGGCGCAGTCTCCTCTTAACAGTTGTTCTAGAGATGGGTCTGCTGCTAGAACTCTGTGTGGCATTCATCTGGTCTCTGATCTGAGCTGCTGTTAACTTGCCATTTCTGAGGCTGGTGACTCGGATGAACTTATCCTCAGAAGCAGAGGTGACTCTTGGTCTTCCTTTCCTGGGTCGGTCCTCATGTGTGCCAGTTTCGTTGTAGCGCTTGATGGTTTTTGCGACTCCACTTGGGGAGACATTTAAAGTTTTTGCAATTTTCCGGACTGACTGACTGACCTTCATTTCTTAAAGTAATGATGGCCACTCGTTTTTCTTTAGTTAGCTGATTGGTTCTTGCCATAATATGAATTTTAACAGTTGTCCAATAGGGCTGTCAGCTGTGTATTAACCTGACTTCTGCACAACACAACTGATGGTCCCAACCCCATTGATAAAGCAGGAAATTCCAATAATTAACCCTGATAAGGCACACCTGTGAAGTGGAAACCATTTCAGGTGACTACCTCTTGAAGCTCATGGAGAGAATGAGTGTGCAAAGCAGTAATCAGAGCAAAGGGTGGCTATTTTGAAGAAACTAGAATATAAAACATGTTTTCAGTTATTTCACCTTTTTTTGTTAAGTACATAACTCCACATGTGTTCATTCATAGTTTTGATGCCTTCAGTGAGAATCTACAATGTAAATAGTCATGAAAATAAAGAAAACGCATTGAATGAGAAGGTGTGTCCAAACTTTTGGCCTGTACTGTATGTTCACAGGAAAATAACTGAAAGAGCTATCTAAGTCATGTAATCCTACAAAATGTGGTGCAGAGTCTGTTGACAGAACAGTCCAATTAAAGGAGGATGAAAGAAAAATGAGGGGATCACATATATCATCTTGGCATATAGTCCTCTGGAACTCCAGACATGTTCCTTTTCCTCAAGGCAGCGTCTACTGTTCTAATCAGTTCGTTGATGTTCGCTCGCATTTCCGGAGTATAGGGGTCATACTCAAGCTTTCGCAGCCCCGATCTCTTGAAGTTTCCATCCTTCTGGCCCTCCACACAGAGAAGGCGGTCCTCAGAAACCTTCAAACCCAGAAACTGGACCATCCCTTTCAGCTGGGAGAACAGATCCCTCTTCAGATTCTCAAAGTGGACCACGTGGACGACCTTCCCATAATTCAGCCAGTCCAACGTGTGGGACGCCCACCAAGGGGCATAGTTCTTCACAAACTCGGGCCACTCTGCAGGACAGATGAGAGTACAGAAAATGAATCAACAAGGACATGTGGGTGTCATTGCACTGAATAAAAATAATATGGCGCAAATTCAAGAAAGAAGCACTCAGATCATCTTCCTGATAAAATTAGGCTCTGTATTCATCAAACTTTTGAATATTACAATTAAAAAACAGCAAGTAAAAAGTTCTTTGCTAAGACTAAAGAATAAGGCACATTTATCAAGAAACTTAAACCTAATTACAGTGACTTTTAGGAGTAATGTTTAAGAGTAGCTCTCAGGAGGACACAGTTACTCGCACTGCTTAGAGAAAAGACACAATGATTCATCTTACAACTACCAGATTGTTCTTTTTTTAAAAACCCTTATTCATTTTTGTATAAAATCTATTAGCAAGCAATTACTATGTGAAATTAACAACAATCCAATAGATTTATATGATGTAAATATATAAATGGGGATGAAATAAAAGGAAATAATGACAAAAGAAAATTCATAAAAGGAGAATTCTGTATCATTTTTGACAAAATGCAGATAACGAAATAAGAATTTGTTTCAAATGTGAATTTAGATATAACAGCTTATGCAACAAAGCTGCAGCTGTCAAGACAAGTATGTTTATGTTGCAATAAATTGGTTAAATAGCTTTTATTTTTTAGGAGTACAATTTATAGAGTTTAACTTTTAGCTCCTATGTGAATCTAAAATGTCAGTTTGGTAAACACATGCCCTGATCTCATAGCAAAGCATCAACAAAATGCAAAAATGACTTCAACATGTGTTGGGTGGATCACTCTTATTGAGATGAAACAGAAGGATGCTTTTGCCTACGTACACAGTGATATTCCACTTTTAATCCAAATACGACAATATTCTGAATTTAATACAGCTCATGTAAACAGCATAATCTGTTTGGATTTTCCAAATTAGGCCTTTTTCCAGATGAAACAGTTTCCAGTTCTGGGAGCATTTTTTGGACATCTATACAGTCCATTCAGAATATACGTCTCAAAAGGGGTTTTTTACAGCAGTTTGCGTCACATGGCCTCCTGTCTATATAAAATCGGCTCTGTGCGTTGTCCTGGATACAAACCGATTAGCCAACAGTTTGCAAGACTATAAGGGAGAGATGCATGTCCAAAAGAAAAGCCCACATACATATCTGGTCAGAAGCAAAAACACACCTACTTTTAAACATTATGAAACACTTGGATATCAACAGGTTTTTGGATTTATGCAAATGTTGCAACGCCAGCCTTTTCAAGAAGGTGGTTGAAGGAGTGAAAGAGGAAGATGTTTGCATGGTCAAACCAGTCTGTCCCTGGTGAAAAACAAAATCCTTTTTTGATGCAAAGAAGCATATGGCACGGACAACTCCAGCTGTTTCACTTTTCCATATTTTGATGTGTTAAAAGACATGTTAGGGTACGTTAATCTGAGAATGCACGGCTGCATGTAAATGCAAATATTAGTGGAATGTTAATTTTCATTTGCCACGTAAAGAGTTTCATTGGAATGTTTCGTTGCAAAAACTGTTTTATGCATGTAAACATAGTCACTTATCTTTACACTTCATCTGCTTCACAACAACACTTTCTTTTGCCTGACTCACATGTCACTGGACGAACCAAACGGAAGCAATGACAAATAACGCTGAGGTTAATGAGAGGAAAACCACAGAGGGGTTTTTTGTGTCACTGAGAAAAGTATTTAAACATGTAAATATATAAATAATCAGCTCTGTAAACTTAAATATGTAAATACTGAACTGTATAAGCATAACTCAGCATTAACTCAAATATATTCACCTCTAAAGCTTACTTTCAGAAGGAATTAAAGAGTCAAGGGGAAGTGATTCATGATAGCCTAACTGATGTCATTTAGCTCGAAACGTCTGGCGCAATTCAATGCAGGGAACATTCAGTCATGTCTGAGATGTTTGGACAGTAAAGTGGAGATGGTTGTCAGTCAAACTGCAGAGGTACTGTGGGAAACTCCTTTGCTTGCAACTTTTACTTATTGATAATCTACTGGCCCATGAAAGTGGCTGCTGGCAGGGGCTGTGTTGCATTAGCACGCATCTTTACTGTTAGGAGAGGTTGTCGTTAAAGTTTAAAGCCTGCTGAGTTTGCAGTGCTGTCTCAGAGACCAACGAGAGACGCACAGTGGACAGAATATTATATGCTGCATCTAAAAACGCAACCAGCTGTATAGAAACACTGCATCTCTGACCACACTGCTTCTGTTCTCCTCACTATCACGCTTTCAAAAGAAACCGGAGCTTGAAATAAGAAGGAACCAAAATAGTTGGCGTTCTCCCCGTGAACATCCTGTTGTGCTGACATCTGAATATCAGACTCAGTTAATATGTTCTTATTAGCAACGTTCTGACTTTAAAAATCCAAATGAAGGGGTTTATGTAAGAGCCTTTAAAGCCACCAGATAACACTGAAAAACAACCGACTGTGCTTTGCCAAATGACATGTCCTCCAAAATAAGTTACACTCGCCCCTGAGTTGACTTTATGGGGCCACCCTGGAAGGCATCAGTGTCAGTAACATCATCTGAGCCCCACAGCCTCCCCCTGCAGAGGTGAGTGCATCAAATCGTACATGTGGCGTCCCGAACACAATGTCACGCTGACTCTCCAACTGGATCCTCTCTCTGAATTCGAAGTGGCAGCTGTCAAAAAGCCTTTCTCTTTACTGATGTCACTGCATCATTTCTCCACCAACAGAAGGAATAAACACTCATTGGAAATGGCAGGCCAAATGTGCTGATGTTTCCACAAAGAGAGACAACTGCTGGGTCGGCAACTCTCTCCAGCCTCTGGAAAATCGATTTAAACCTCACAGAAAGTAAGAGAGACGGTACACGGACCAGACAAAACCAGTTGCCATGGTTACCAAGACACACTTAGGAGGGTGAATGAGCTGAGAAAAGCAGAATATGCATGAAATATAAATATATCTTCTCAGCAAAGGGCTTACAATCTCACAGACAAAGAGTTACTGGACCCAGAGACTCCATGTCTGTAAAGATGCCGTGAACAATGACGTTTTTAATAAACTCTTGTAATCATCAAGGAGACTCAAGAGGAATTTAACTTGACTAAATTGTGCTGACACATTATGAAATGGTTGCACAATGCACGATGACGCACTGGACATCAGACAAAATGTCCAAATGGGCAAAAAGGAATTAAATCTGTAACAGTGCGCTGCCTTAATACAATATATTAATACAAATAGCATAAATCAAGCAGCTGATTACTACAGAAATCATAACAATATATTTGTACTTCTTGAGCATAATCTTTGAGGAAGTCACTGACATGCTGTAACAAAAACGATCTGCACAGTCAGTCACCAGAAACATTTTCTTGGCATCGTATGTTTTCTGCAAACAGCAAATATGTCACATTTGTACGTTTCTAAATTGTTGTACTTCAGAGGACATGTATATGCGCTGAATTTCTCATGAGGAAGCAATGGCAGATGGTGTGCAACTAGGTGAGACAGCTGCCAAGCAGCAGACAAGCAGAAAACTGTTCTTTGACAAGAGCTCAGGACGTGTCCATTCATGTTTGTAACAACTAAACTACTACTAATACTAGAGTATTTTGAGCCAAAACATGTTTTCCTACCCCTAACCATGTGGTTTTTGTAAGATTACTTTTTAGCCATTGAGTTCTTTAGCAGAAACGGTTCGTAAGTGTTTGTGTCATTGTTCACTAGCGCAGGGTAAATACCATTTTGTTCTTTCAGCATTGGACAGTGCTGTTAATGTGCTAACTGGCTAACTAGCATCTTGAATCTGTCCTGTTTGTCTTATGGTTTCTCTTTTTGAATGGAGAATACAGACAGACATTTCCTCTCATGCAGGCACAGAAGGTATGTGTTGGATGGCTGAAGTCTTTGCATTGTGTATAGTGCAACTTTTTGGTCAAGACACAGGCAACGTGAGGCTATGCAACAGCCGGCCTTCATTGCCACTCGTTCCTTGATGTCGCTTTGTGTCTGGGCCTTAAAGCTCACAAGTTAAAATGTTGAATCTCGTGCATTTAAATACATTTCTATGAGGGGTTACATGCCAAACACTTTTTTTATACACACGGTCTGGTCACATTTCCTAATCAAATGTAGCACGAGAGTATGAGGAACAAGCTGCTCTTACCTGGTCACACAACTCATGATCTGACTAAGAATGACTGAGGTTGTGGCTGGTTGGCCAATTGTTTCATTTCTCATTTTTATAAACAGAGAGATCGTGCTCGATATCATGTTGGCAATGGTTTTGGAACTGTTTCAAAACTTTGTGCTCAGCCGCAATGGTTTCTAAGGTCAAAACCAGCCCTTGGTTTATTGCTCATTTCCTCCATTTCCTCGCCATTTTACATCACCATAGATCATTTCCCACAGAATATTACCACATAATCCCACTTAAGACAATGGGGGCAAATTTAGACTTCCATTTAATTTATTCAGTAGAGCTGGAGGAAGTTTTGTCTTTTCTTTATTGGATGACTGAGATTAAAACTGCTGAGAAACAATAGTTTAAGGACTGAGACTCTAATTTGCCCTTCAGCTGGACAGATTTTGGTCACATGCTCACAGATTCCTACATTTTGCCTCATAAACTGTCTTAACTATTATGGTTTTAGTTATCAAAATGAGGACTCCATTTGTTTGAAAGCTTTACTCAAAGTCAACCTGCACATGACAATCTTGCAGTTGGTCGGAAAATGAAACTTGGTACAACAGTTTGGTAAATACTGTACGCTATTGTGGCAATAACGGCTCACCTTTCCCTTTCCAGTGGGCCTGCGAGGCAAATCCAATGTGGCCGCCATATTTTCTGTTAAATTCAGCCATGAGGGCTTTGTAAGGGTTTCGGATCATGAGGATGCTGGAGTCAAAGGATTCAATCTCCTTCCTGCCGCTCTCGTGTGTCTTAATGCAGATCGTCCTTCCACTTCGCCAGTGGTCCCGCTCCCCTTTAAATCCTGTGAAACATTTACAATCCCACAGTGAATAGATTTAATCCTCAGAGGTTTGTGAATCACATCAGATGAATGTCAAAGCCTACCTTTATTATAAAGGGAGCCATCAAAGTAATAGCTGCCGGTGTAGAAGCCGGTGGCGAGCTCTATGAGGTGGCGAGCCCAGGTGTTGCCAGCTCCGGGGAAACTGGCGAGTGCCACCAGCTGCTTGGCACGACTGGGGAGGAAGTGCCGGTCCATGCAGCGGTTATCTGACACAACACAAAGAACACCAGGCTTCATTAATGATTTCTTGTATGTACTGAAACAATAAAACATTCTCCAGCCATGAACGGGGGGCACGAACTGTGACGGTGCAAAACAACTGACAAGTTGCTCAACACAATCAAGCTTCAAATAGATACCGAAAGTCAGTCACTTCCTGATTTGGGCTTAGTTCTGTAATAAAGGGGGCTAAAGACAAAGAAGTTATGCTGAAACATTGGAAGTTTGTGGCAAAGACATTTAAACATCGCTGGAGGAAAAGGTCAATATGGACACATTCTGGTTATGTTTTGTTCTGCGTGGGTTAGCTTGACTGTTTCGTCTTCATCACATATTGCCTAACAATAACAATTCCCACTTACTGACGTAAATGTGTGACGTTAATACTCTAAAAATATACTCTAAAAATACTGGAGCTAGAAAGTCTTTAGCTGCAGACCTTTGAGTGCAACTCGTCCAGTATATTTACATGAATTTCACTTCCCGCTGCGGCTTGTTCTTGTTTTTTTGCTTCACAGCAATAAACATCCTTTTTGTTTACTGGGCTCTGTGTTTCTGCTGATCCAAGCTACAGCTGCCTGCTGCATTCGGGAAACACTGTTCACAATGACGCATATGCTAGAGACACACCAATGCTGGATTTCTGTGGCTAGTAGTGATATTTGAGAATAATAGGGTGCTGCAAGGATAGCGTTTTTTTTTTGTTTTTTTTTTGTTTTTTTGGTAGGCTGATGCGGAAGTCAGTGTCGCCCTTGTTCCTTTGCTGAAAAGCCTATGGGTTTTTTTTCATTGTTTTGTTTTTTTAACATTGCAGAAAATAAGCTCTGGGGTTCAGAGAAGTTTATGATATTTACATGTGTTGTTCAGCAAGAATCTTAATCCTGACAAATTCACACCACTTTTATAACTTTTCAAGCATAAATGCAGTTGTAAGAAGTAAAAAGCCAATGCTAGGCTATAAACGAACTACACTATGGTAGCATGACTTCCATGTCGCTGCCACAACAAGTCTGTAAAGTTGTGTTCAGCGTGATGACGTTCTGTGTTCTCATTTAGCAACCGTCTTTATAAGATACATAAAGCTTAGAAATTTTTGGGTTTTAGGACTCATTCCTGCACCACGGTATGGAAAACTGTAACCCTATGTTTCAAAATATTTTTTTTATAGAGATGCCGGAAATTTGGTTATTGAAGTGTTGTGATAACGGTACATCTGGAACAGGATATTTTACAGCTGAACTAAATAAACTTTCACATGGTAACAGTAAATATTAGGGGTGGGAGAAAAAAATCAATACAGCATAGTAGCGCAATATTTTGTGTAGCGATATTATATCGATACACAGACGGCAAGTATTGATTTATTTTATTGTATAAATGATTATTATTGCAAATACAAATTAAACTTTTGGTAGCCTACTAGAATGATAAAATCAATTGCTTTTTCAGTCCACTAGATACATTTTGATGCAATAAAAATGACTGAAGTGAGATGAACATACTGAATATCTTATAACAGAAGACAGATATTGATAAAGTTTTCCAGTTGAAAAAGATTTTAAAAGCTGCAATATATGCCATCGTAATGTTACTTTTGTATATATATAAGATGATCCTTTTTTATATAAGATATTTACCTGTTCTACAGAGGTGAAAAAAATCAGGGCAAACATGGGGTGGTGTTGGGTGTTTTCAAGGTCACAACAACTCCACATTTTCACACTTGGTACACCCTGCTGAAAGTGTGCATGTCTTTATTTCCTGCACACATGGTGTGGCTGATACTTGGGTTTCCTGACATGCCTCTCATTTCAATGTGCTCTTTGCATACTGCTGCAAGCTACAAAATGTTACCTTGAACTTGCGTCTGGTACACCACAAAGTACTCTTCGTTCCCGCAGCTCTCGAACTCTTCCCCGTGGCAGCGGTTGAGACACATGCCCTCGTCCTCCAGCTCATGCAGAGAGAAGAGAGGAGTTGGGAAGCCGCAGTAACATTGATCTCCAGCCAGGACGGCCAGCGTTTTCTCCTAAAGTACAACTGCCATTAAACACTGAGGACACACTCGCACTTATGTACAATGCATTAATACACACATCCCCCCAAAAAAAGACCCCTCACCCTCTCCGTGCACATGTCCACACATTTGTCCACAGACATGTTTCGGATGACCATGCTGAAGGGAAGTGCCAGAGTGACATTGTCTGGCCGGTGGAAACACCCTTTGAAAATGGCACTGCCGTCTGAAACAGACACAAGAAACCAAAATGTTTTTCATTGTGAGGAAGAAAAAAAACAAAAAACACTGCAGTTTTATGGTTACTGAGCACAGCTTCCATCAGCTTGGCCTCTATTCACTGACCCCTGATGAAGAGATCCCACTGGGACTCTCCCTCAGTCTACTGAGGCCCTGACCTGCCAGCAGACTCAACCAATAGCAGCGCTCTCATCGCTGCAGTGTGATGATGACCTTTAATCTCAGGTCCTCACTCTGGTCTGATGGATGGACCATGAATCACAGCAGCACAGAGGAGCTGCTTCTTTCTCTCACAGGAAGTTGTGATATTATCTGTAAGATGATGTTTCATCCTTTGATTTTGTTATTTTAGGTTTTTCTGGTGCTACTTCTGCACATAAATCTTATCTTACAGAATAACTGGATGACTTTTAAGAAAACAACCAACCAAAACAACCTGAAAAGAGACAGTGGGTTTAAATCAGGATTAAACCGCTGATCATATCGTGGGCTGTGTCATTTGATTAGAGGATGAAAGCCACTGTATAAAGTTACTGCAGAAGAAAACCCCAAACATCCATTTCACATTTTTTTCAGGCTGTCAACACATCAGCTGTGCTGGTGTGCACGTGAAGCTCTCTCTGCTGTCAACAGATGGTTAAGCTTTAATAACAGAGGACGAAAACCACACTAAAAGCTTTTTACTGTGACAGATACCATGATGACGGCAACTCGCTTGCTCAAATGTCGCTGAATAAAATATGCACATGGACCTGTGCGTCTACGGAATTTATTCATGCTACCAAAACCTGCAGCTCCCCAAGTCTGCTGAGCTACGCTTAACTATCAGTGCTGTGAGGCATTAAAACAAGGTAACACCGCTTGCAAATTAGCTTCAGCCATGTGAGTGTATCTAATGTTTTATTTATTTTTGACCTTTTTCCCCGACTAAAAGTTGCATTTTTAATGTCATGGCCTTGCTCTCTTCATTTCCCTGCAGTATATCTTCACTGCATCCTCTCTCTGTTACCCGCCTCTGCCCTCGCATACGGCAGAGCTTTTTAAATCAACCGAGAGGCTGTTTTTGTTCCTCCGTTGACTACTATCACACATGTGCAGCATCCAAACGCATATTTCAAACAAAGTCTTAAGAAATAAACGCAGAATGATCGCTTTGCAAGAATATCTTAGGAGTTAAGTTTTACTGAAAACAGCCATGTGACCATAATGGTGGTGAAAACCACAAAACGGCCACCTCGACACATTTCCTGCATTTCCTCTTTGATGTTCACATGACGAAGATCAGGGTCAGAGGTGAAAACATAAGCACGAAGAGCCTATTCAGCAGTTCTGGTGGCAAACTGAGAGAAAAAAAAAGCAGAAATGAAAATAACAATAAACAAACAGCAGTGAACTGGATGGGGTTACAATACCCCAGGGTCATTTAGATTCAAGAGTTGCTTAAATATTCGCCATAGGTGTGCAGGCTAACCTTCTCCTTTCACAATAGCAGATTATTTCTAAGAAGCAGAGGGTAGATGAGAAAAAGGAAGCGCAAAGAGAAGAAGAAGGAAAAGGTGTAAAAAGTTACCTCACACGGGACTTTTAAAAGAACAAAATTGACACATTATCTTTTTCACTTCTGCTAAACAGCCCTGCTTTCACTTCACTTCAGTTTTCCAGCTGCAGCGAGTGTTTAGGATGCAGACCACGGCTGGCTGGCCTACGTAGGTAGCACAGCTCTCCGGGGAAAGAGGTAAACACAACAGAGCAGCCTGCTCCCAACTGTGGCATTAACCCAAAATAAAACAAATATTTTCCCTCCAAACAGCCGGGCTTGTTACATTTCTGGATATGAAATAACATCTTTGTGCCTTAGTGGATACTGCTGGTATACTCAGGTCTGCTTGTATCTTTTCTCAGCACATGAACATCAATTCATCAAATTAAAGAATTTTTTGTGACCATATATTTTTAAATTATGGACATGACAGTGCTCTTGTGTGTCTCCTTGACAGCCCTGTGTGGAGCAGCACGTTGTTCCTGTGAAGCCCGTGGGAGTTTTTGTTGTTGTTGCAGAGTGTCAGACTCACAGCGACGTGCCGACTCCTGGCTCAGCTCCAATCTATAGATGGACAATCTGTTGGCTCCTCCACACAGGTTGCTCTTCTCTCCTTTGCACTCCATGTTGCATTCGCTATCTGATGCATTGGGCGCCTGAATCTTGTGACCGCAGTAGCACTCTGCTCCGAACTCCAGACCTGCGTACATGTACCCTCTGGAGGGCAGAGAAAGGAAAAAACATCAGCATCGTTAGTGAAGGAAAAACAGAGAGACGGTGTGTGTTCTGAGGCTTTTTGACGTCTCTTAATCCTTCACAGGCCAATACAGATTATTATTCAGAGCAGCTGGATAAGCAGTGATCAATAAAACCAAACAAATGTTGCACAGAGGATGTTGAAGTAAAGATGAGAACGCATCCCAACGTAACAACACCTCTTACTTTGGTGAAAATGCTGCAAGGCTCTAGAGGAAATTATTCATATGCTTGAAAACTATATTCATCACACAAGGTCTCTTCACACCCTTCTGTTGCTGCGTGGAGGATTTGACTCCCAGGGGCCTTTTGGGTGCAATTAGACGTCTAACACACCCCTCACACAGGACAAATCCCCTGGGCTGTCAATCAAACCCATGCCTCTGTGCGCTACTATGTGCTGTTACCCCTCATTTGTTTGTCTGTTTATATTAACCCGCTGCTCCTGGAGAGGAGGCGACCGGGCTGCGAGAAGCGAGAAGCGAGAAGTAAGAGGAGGACGGAGCTGAAAACAAGCATCTCTCTCTGTTCCTATTCTCCGCTCTGTGAATCAGTGATGGGTGTAATTCAATGCATTCGAGAGCGCCGTCCCCCGGTATTCCACGGGGAGAGAAAAGAGGTGAAAGAAAGATGGGTGAGGTAGCAGAGGGGGAGAGAGGATGGAGGGAAATGAGATATATGGAAGAGAGGAGCAGAGAAATAAATGCTTGTAAAACTGGAGCATACATAATTATTTTTTTACGTTTTAACCTCAGAAGAACACCAAGAATCTACAAACTAATTTGGTAACGTATCAGCTGATGTTTTTTATGTACATATATATAAATTAAAATAAATAAATGAAATCTGCAGCAGGTCTACCTCCAATTGAGTTACAAAAATTGCATGAGGGTGTTCATTGTGGCCAAATATATGCGGACATCTTCATATGACATCAATATGTGACTTTTTAACGTGTCATTCCAAAACTATGGTCAGTATTGTGCTGATATGAGAGCATTCTGGAAAAGCCTTTCACAGGATACTTGAAATCTGGCCGTGTGGATTTGCTCTCATACAGCCACAAGAGCACAACTGAGGTTGAGCTCTGATGCTGGTCCATAAGGTCTGGCTCACAGTCAACTCTCCTATTCATTCATCAAAGGTGTTGGATGCAAGGCCGGACTATTAACCGGGCAAAGCAGGCAGCTACCACAGGGCCAAAGAATTGCAAAAGGGTCTGTGCACTTTAATCCAGCCTTTTCAAAAGAAAGTGTCAGGTGTGTGTGGCTATAAATCAGCAGTCCCCTATGGCAGAGAAATGCCTGCACACTGACAAAAGAGAAGAAAAGACTCTTGATTGATTCCATGTGAAAAGAGTGACACGATATAAGAAAATGCGACAAAGAGTGTCACCATTGTGTAACCCTTTGCACATGGAATACACTGATTCTTATTGCAGCTCAAGTGCCTTCTCTACTTGTTTTTGTTGTCACTGTGCAGGCAAGACCCTTAAAATAGGCCTTGAGAGGTTGTCTAACTGCAAGAGGGTATTTTGCACATCAGTATATATGCTGATGTTAATATCTGTGACAAGCCTGCATTGGCCATGGGACTCCCTAAAAACCCAGGGTTTCACCCAGGGGCTGTTCCTTACATCCTTCATCACTCAGAGTGCTGCGTGCCTCATGTGCATCCTCGCCGGCTCACACTGAGTTGCCTCGCCACTTCTTGGATAAACTAGCAAAAACGTGACCTTTATTAACGTAATCTTTGCCTTAACCCCAAGATTAAACAGGAGACATCACGCCTGACTGTAACCTCAAACAGAGATGATTTCATTTTGTCGTGATGACAATTTACAAAGATACACTTAGATTTTTGCTCTTTGTACTGCTGCCACAGCTGCAACCGTGACTAGACGTCCTGCAGGTTTTCAAATGACTTTTTCCTGACTGCTGATAAATTCTCAGACTGACCATCATAACATTATATTCACAAATATGTACGACCACATAGTGCTAAAATATATTGACATAGAGACGGACTGAATATTGTCCAACATCAAAAATCTGCTCAGATGGGGAGGGGGTCTGTATTCTGATATCAGAGTAGCATCTTGCATCAATAATGTTAGATGTCTGCCCAAACAGGGTTACAAGGCAAACTATCAGTTTCCATGTATATATGTGCGAGACCAAATATACAAGTTATAGGAAAACGTCTACAGTATATTCTATATATGTATTCTTTATATTATCCAGTCTAAGTTGCAGAATTTACAAGCTTTAGAAACAAAACTAGCCCATGCTTCTTCTCATTTTCATCAAACCAATATAATTCATTCTCATTAAGGTGCACACAGGTTATCATATAAAGCATGAACCTGCACTCCGAGACAGCACTGCACTGCTACATCCTGCAAAGCCATGCCCGTCCAGGTGAAACCCCGTATGTTTTGGGAGTTACCTATTGGTCATTAACTGGCCATCAGTTCTATAAAACACCACAGATCAAGGAAACTATTTTTATACTTTTATAGTTTCCAAAGATGAGGAAGTACCTTTTAATTAATGTCAGATATTTTTAAAGTTCATATCAGCTCTTCTGCTCTGTCAGCTCTATTTCATCAGCGCGACAGCAGAGATTAAAAAAAAAAAGAGAGGATATGTAATTGATGAGTGTTTGTGTTGTTAGCTGCTGTCGTACCTTTCTGCACAGTTGTCCTGGCAACGGAATACAGTCATTTTTTTGTAGTCAAAAAAGGAAACTCCTCTCAGCGCTCTTTTCTGTGTGTCATCAATGTAGCAGCCAATATACTTTGCTGAAAAAGAGAGAAAACATACATATATATAAATAGAAGTTAATTACGGAGCGAAGGAGAGACATATTTTCAAATTGAAATACAGAGACACAAAGAGTACATGATGTTTACTCTACATTTAGTGTACAACAGAGTAAAAAAAACATTTGTAAATGGAGTCAAATGAGTCAAAAGTGAATACTGTCTGCAACAGTAGTCTTCCTCACATGCCGACACAGTGTAGTAACAGAGCACATGAGGAGTCCAAACTGGGGCAGAATCTTTATTTATTTATAAATACACACATCCCCTTCTAGTGGCCTGTAACTGTAACTGTCATCTCGCTCCTTTTTTTTTCATGAATGTGTGGGGGTTGGGCTCCAGTGAACCTCTGCAGAGGGATACAGCAACCCTTTAACAGCTTCTTCCCACTCATTAAAACGCTGTTTCTCTATTTAACTGAACTACACAGGCTCTATACCTTTAACAAACAAGCCTCTTGCCATCTGTGGTGTGCCATTACCCCTCTGAGCCTCTGATCATAGCTAAATGGGTCCTAGTCCCCTTGCATTACTTTAATTGTTATGGACTAAAGACCTGGGTTTGTGCAGCATGTGGTGTGCTGCAGGACTCGGCTATAATCTTCCTCTTAACTATTGTTGCACTGGAAATAATCTGCTTTATCATGAAGGGAAATGCTGATTTAAATGAAACTGGGAGCTCATTTTGAATCGTATAGTTCATCTTTATGAGGGCAAATGATGAAAGATCAGATGTGCAACTGATATCATTATCTGTTTTGTACTTTCAATATGCAAACGATGCACAATAACCTCTCTGCATCTGGTGGATCATTTAAACCAATGTCAACAGTGTTTGAGCTATATGCTATCCCCAGTCCACTCCTGTTTTCCCCTCAGCACAGAATGCTTCTGTGCCATTGCACCACACAGTGCAAATGTGTTTATGTGCTGTGCTCTGCATCTCATGCTGCAATATTCCCTCCAAATTAAATTGTGAACCAGTGGGAATGAGTGCATTTGCAGTGAGACGAGAGAAAAAGCTTAAGATGGTTCAGACTGCAGAGTGATGAGTGGTGCATGAGAGCAAACGAATGCTTTGAAGCTGCTAATTACTCCATCATCACTTTCAGCTGCAGTCCTGTGAGGTTGGTGTTTCAGGGCGGGAGGGGAGGAGGAGGACTGAGCCAGACTGAGAGACCTTTATTTGATCAGACACCCTAAAGCTTGAATATACTGTACATTGTAAACATGTTTGTTTTCCTGACCTTGAATTGGGAAAAAAAATGAAAAAATGGCTCAGCAGTGCACTAGAAATACATTATTGTCTAATACTCTCCACTTTAATGTGAAGCAGAGTACTGTACTGTGACTCATAGTTTTTGTGATGGAATCACTTATTTGTTTTCTCTTCAGGCTCAGAGAGGCCCCGAGTAGAGTGAGATAAAAATCAGGGAGGCTGCCTCGACGCTGGCACACACGGAGCAGCAGTCACTCACACTTATGTTTCATATTTATGGGCAGTTTAGATTCTCCACCTGCCTGTACTGCACTCTGGAGGAAAACCAGAAACCCACATAACCACAATGGAGTGATAGTAAAATGAATGGCTCCTCAGTGTCTATTTTAAGGTGCCGTGCATATGAATAAATAGAAACACCCAAATAGCACGTGTTGAGTTAAGCAGTAGTTGAACTAGATGTTTATAACTTACAACTACAATTTTGACGTACTTGTCCTTCCCTTGAGTATTTTTACTCCACGACATGTCAGGGAAAAAGACTGTGCATTAATCCAATACATACATTGGTGCTTGTATATAGCAATACTTGTTGCTTTATAAATTAAGTTTTTACATACAAACTGTGTCCAGTTTCTAAAGTATAAAGCACTGTTACAGATTAAACCACCCAACAGTACATTAAGTAGCTAAAATGCTAATTGCTCTTAAAATGGCAGACTTTTCATTAAGCTTGGGGGGTATCATGGTATTACAGTAAACCAGGGTAAACCAGTTAGAAATCCTAAAGGTATGACTTTTAATCCCATCAAAAATACAGACGCCCCTCTTTCTGTTAAACTGATACAGAGATGCTGTATTGAGGTGATGTAGTGAGCAGCACATGCCACCAGAGGTCAGTCTCTACAGGTGTAACAGGCAGCCCAGCTGAGAAAGATGGTGATTGTGTGAGTGGTGGGGATAACATTACAGGATGAAGAAAAAGCCGGCCAGCAACGGCATAAAGTGACGTTGGGGAAAGCAGCTCAGCGTAAGATTTTTTTTTTTTTTTTTTATTCACAAATACCGTCACTTAATGCAGACTTTGGTAAAACGTCAGGAAGATATGCAGTTTGCTACTTTACCCAAATAAAGTCTGAATACTTTATGCATTTGGAAATTAGTTCTAACTAAAGAAATATGCAAAGCTTTATTTATTTTTGTGGGCAGACTGAAAATGATATCTACGAAATCTTTGGATTCCCATGATGGGAAGAATGTTTTAAGTGTCTAAACACCTGCAGTGGAAAGTAACTAAGTACATTTCTCAAGCACTGTACTTGTGTTATACATCAAAGGTATTTAAGTTTGGTTATTTCCATTTTAATACTACTTTATACTTATATTTCACTGCATTCTAGTGTTACTATTGTACATTTAAGTCCCCGATATTTATCTGACAAATATATTTACCTAAAATATTAAGATTTTGCAGATAAAACACATGATCAATTTATAAGACTGCCCAATAATGTATCAGATAGTTAAAATTACTACAATAATAAAATGGTGCTTACGTGTTAATCGATCAGTAATAATAATCCTTGAGCGCTTTAAGTTCACTTTCATGATAATATTTATGTGAATAATTTATTTGAATAAAGGATATTTACATGTAACATATTATTTTAACATATTGGTATTATTGCTTTTACTTAATTAAAAGTATCCCAGTACTCGTATTTCTATTGTGTTCCTTTCTGAAAAGAGGACTAGGGGTCTGGCACAACTGTCACAAGAGGATTTTTCTTGAATACATGTTGGAGAAATCCACCGTTTGACTTTGTGTTTAATAATTTATACTTCATCCAGCAGTGCAGAGAGTGTTTGACAGGGTAAGAAAAGCAGAGAGAAGTAAGCCAGGAGTAAATGATCTCCTCTAATCAGCTCGTTTGATCATGTTTCATTTGGAAAGGAATAAGTAAGCAGGATATTCGTGCCATCCAAGGTCAGAGTCAGTCGACTCTAGAGAGACACTTCCTGTCCTCATGTTGGTGTTTTCAAAACGTTTGGTAATTCGATAAGATGTCACATGCCACTCAGGAGTTTATATGTAAACCTTTCCTGACAGGATTTTGTAACTGCGCTGCTATAAAAAGAGAGATAAAACTGTAAATCCTGCGTGAAGTTATTTAGATGCTGTGATGTTGCAGCCGAACACATACTGTGTGGCAGCAGGCAAAGCTGCAGCTGAAGCCCTGTGGGTGAGACCCTTGAAGGATTCACTCCGAGACGAGACAGAGGACTTAATCATAATCATCATCTCACTCCACTCTCAAGAGATTTCCTACATGACCAATTACAACTGGAAATTCTCAGTCATTATGATGGTGCGGTTTGTAATTAGAGATTGCTTTGGATCAGTTTCATATTAACATGAAGTGTTGAAGGAACAAGTGCTGCCTGCGTGTTACTGCAGTGAATATTTATCATAAATCAGCCTGTCATATGATATTTTAAATAGTTGTTTCTTGAATATTCTCATTATCAACAAAAGAAATTATTTATTCTAATTATTGTTATAATAATATTGTACACAAGAATCCAGTTGTAAACACTGAGTATTCATTAATGTTGCAACACTGCAATTATCTTTGTGATTGCCGGCACACATTGTGATTCATTTAAAATTCACTTACTGTTCCAGTAAATTCCATTTATGTTTTGCTGATCTGCTTAAGTGAGCACTGCACTGAATTATTGTATTACTTTTGATAGATTTTTTTTTAAGTGGGAGAAGTCAAGGGCAAATGTTGACCATCTTCTATAATTTATCAGCTCATTTTGAATTTTGAGAAGTGGGAGAAGATCTGTTGTTGAATTTGGAAAATTGCCAAGCTGAAAACAAAAGCACTGCAAGAGCAAAGTGAAGAAGTCATGGTGTAACCCACCTCGTCCATCGTCCACATCTTTGGCACTGCGTCCTTTAAGTGCACGGTTCCAGTTGTTGGTGTAGTCTCCCTGCCTGTGCACCGTGTCCTGGCCCTCATGTCTGTCCTTTTTCATCCACGGAGGGCCGTACCTCCGTCCAGACCTGCGGGTCTCCTTAAACACTCTGCTCATGATGCCAAGCCCCCGTGTGTCTGACACTGAAGTCCGGCCTCCCATCTCTGATGCTACCAAAGAGTCACGGCCCCCTCTGCCCCCGGGGCCACTGTCCCCGACAAAGCCAGAGTGCAGGAAGACCAGGCTCCCGGCGGTCAGGTAGAGGAGGATGAGGGAGAAGAATCGGACAGGTTTCCTGCGGAAATAGCGCTGTATCTTCAGCAGAGGCTTGGCCATGCTGGCTCCCCCTGCCACTCAGACACGCTCTCCCAGTGATGAAAACTCATAAAGCAGAATAATTAACACCAGCTGTCCCTGTTCCCACCACACAGCCCCACTGGGCCCCAACAGAAACAAAGAAAAAGTCAGATAAAGTGTCTTAATCCTGCATGAAGGTCATCCAAACAATAGCATGACTTTCCCCTTCATGTATGCCTCTTCAGTCTCATGAGGAAGATGCTTTACACCTGTGCACTGTGCAGCTCTGCCGATCAAGTCCACGTGAGAGTCTCTCTGCTTTCCCGCTGACAGTCCAGCCCTGAGAGCTAGCTCCGGGGCCACGGCATGAAAGGTGAGCGGCTCAGAGTGAAAGATGAACCCTCAACACCGCTTTCACTCCAGTTATCAGCCCACTGAGATGCCACACCAGCGCCACAGTGGCACTTTCTCCCACGCTGTGCAGAAGGAAGAGGGTTTTTATTTACTGGCTGAGCTGAGATCCTTTCGCCTTTGTGAGGCTGGCTATTCAGCGAGAGAGAGGGCGTGACTCACCATCTGCAGCAAAGACACACACACACACACACACACACACAAAAAAGGAAGAATAAGTACACACCTGAGTAAGCCCTTATCGCACGTGGAAAAGGAGAAATAACATGAGCAGGTTACAAAAAGATGAAGTCACCCATCACCTGCTGGGAAACACATCATCATTATTGCTGTTGTTACAGGAAAGCTAAACTGCCCTCATTCCTTCATATTCTATTAAACTCATATTAAGTGGAGTACAATTTGGAACAGAGATAAGCAAAGACGAGATTAAAAGCAATCACGTATCTGGGAAACTTATCTGTCATGTTAGTTTGTGCACAAAACAGCCTGCAAAGCTTCACTGCAACAAGCTCACTCTTTAATAAATTGGGTTAAGCCGAGAGAGGGAAAACAGAAACAAAGCTCTACCCTGCGGCATTTTCACTGATGTCTTTGGGAACTAATGTGTACAGGAATTGAAGGGAATTAGAAGACATTATTCAGGATGATATAGGGTGAGGATAATTTGTGTGAATCTGTGACAGGAGAAGAGCAAACAGGCTCATTTGATGTTCAAAGAATGCAGAGGTCAACAAGTCGACTCATCCATTAACTCTAGAGTGTACACTTTAATGGACTGTCTTTGTCTTATCATAATTAAGTTATGATGTTACACTGATAACTCCATTTTTTAAAGCGGCTGAATCCCGACTTCCCAAATCCTGGGCAGCCTCCCTCAAAGGAGTCTCTGTTCTGGGACGAGCCCGGGAGGCTACAATTGGAAGGTGTAATGCAACACTCCTCAGGGTTAAGGGAATTTTCCAGAACATTCAAGGGGACACTCGCCCTTGTGGCTTTCTGTCTGCCCTGGGACAAATCCGCAGAATGCGTGTCACCTGAAACCTTGACGACAGAGCAGACCCCCCCTTGGCTTCCCCTCTACTTTTCCCTAAAGTAGTCTGGGAAGAGTCTGAGACCCTCAAGGAGAAACGGATCACATTCTGCTTGTGTGCTTGAACCCGCAGCATCCATGCACAAAGAGAATCCACATCCTGTCTGACTTCTCCAAACTTTGCCTCTGTATCCTGTTCAGTGACTTCTAAACGCTGGCAAGGATGGTTTTTATTACTGATGTACTTTGTCTGTGTTTTAACAATTCAGTATTTTGTTATTTTTAAGGTCAAATCTCTTTTCCTGAGTCACAGTAAGTTTCAAAATGACAAACATTAAATCTCCTGAGGTATAAATGAGGGGTGGTGCAGCTGATGAGTCAAAGATAATAATAATAATAATAATAAAAAAGTAAATCATATTAGTGGGGTTCACATTCAGGACATAAAAGACATAAAAGAGTCTCTTTTGTACAGGCTTTGCAGTTTTCTAACTACACTGTCCTAGAAAATGTTATGGTGTCAGAGGTGCAATGGGTAAACAACACCTTTAAATGTCTAGTGTGTAGGATTTAGCAAGTAGGTATAGCTACAGCTGGAGCAGCTACGTGACCCATCTACCAGCTACAATACTCGCCCACCATACCCAACTGGTCAGTCCACGATCAGCCCCCTTTGCTCCTTGGTCCAGAAATGTAAGCCCTGAAGAAAATGCTAGGTTAGCCTTAAATTAGCTTTGAGGTGTTAGGTTAAGAGCAAGGTGGTTGGGGTTGGGATTAGGGTAAGGGTCACATCTTGTTTCTAATCAGATGAATCACATCTTCATGTATTACGAATTATAAAGTGCATTATTGCAACACTTTGCCTTGAATTTATTCACTATGTCAGGTAGTAGCAGGGTTCAAATAGCTGGTGCATTTTGTACTGGTGGTGGGCATGATTTGTAGTGACGTGTCGTGTAGGCTCCAAACAGTGTGGCTGCAGCTACGTGTCTTGGATTTAGGAGGTCATATTGGCAGAAATTATTATTAAATTACTATGTTTTGATTAGTGTCTAATTACCTGAAACCAAGAAGAATTTTTTGTTATCTTAGAATGAGCCATTTATATCTACATACGAGGTGGGTCGTCTCCCATTGAGCTTGCCATATTGTCAGGACAGGCAACCCAAAAACTGTCTCAATGTAGGGCCATTTGTGTTTTCGTGTCGTTCATTTTAGTTCTCCTATACGCTTGCCTCACGGAAGAAGTTTCAGCCGGTTGCAATCTGCAACCTCACCACTAGATGCCACTAAATCCCACACACTAGACCTTTAAAGTTAGCTCATTACTATGACATGTTATATCTTGTTTGTTTAATCCATATGGATGGATGTGATGTGTTGTAGTCCTGACTATTTCTTTATGCTAAGCTAAGCTTTTCAGCTCCTTGTTCTAGCTTTGCATTTATCAGAAAGGCTCAACAGTGGTATCGACCCTTTCATCTAACTCTCAGCACGAAAGCAAATTTCTTCAACTATTCCTTCGAACGTTTGTGTCTGAAACATCAATGAATGTCAGTGATCTTTTCATTCCCATGAACAGCCTCTATTTCACATTCAATTGAATGCAGTTACACGGTACAATTCCTTATATTTGTTTCTACAGCTGTCTAAACATTATTGAAAAGTGACTCCTACACTCTGTCTGTAACCATGACGATTTTTCAGTCCTGTCTCAGTATTTCGCTCCTTGTCAGTGGAGAAATGATTCATATTTCAGGACGAACGAGATGCCCTCAAACAAGAAAGTCTTTGTTTCAAACTGAATAATTTGTTTGCCTTTGAGAAATGTAATCATATCTAGGCTAGTTTCCCTACAGGGTTACAAGGTCTAAATAGAAAAATAAAACTGCATATTTCAATGCGCCTCTTACTCCTCACTCACTATGGAGGGAAACACTATCCTGAACATGTGTGGTGGCCTCTTGGTTGGATTGCAGTCCACAGGAGAGCATTGTTTTAAAGCTGTGTGCACAGGGCATGTTAGAGTGGCTGAAGCTAAAAGGCAGCGAGGCACTTCTGCTCTGAAAACACAGTAAAAAGGTTTACGAGGGTGAGCAGATGGAGAAAATGGCATCAGGGTATGTGGCACCACTCGGTCTCTAACATATGCAACCAGGCCACACACAGGTTAATTACTGCTGTTAATAATTAATCCCCTCAGTTACAAAAATGAAATTGAACTTGTGGCTAATTTGCAGGTTCAAATGACAGTAACATGAGCGTAGATGGACTCTTGGTGCTATCAATCCTTCATATTGCATGAGGTAAAAAGAAACAAGACCAAGTCTATGCTGTCATACTAGCAGCTCTGTAACACTGTAGGCACAGCAGTGCTTTGTATGCCTATCACGGTAATTGTGTTATTGACTTATCGAGATCAGCAAAAAAGATCAAGGTCATGTCCATATATCGTACAATATTACCCTTGTGTGTTGTGAACATGCACGTTTGTTCATGGAAGAATGTCATCACAATATTAGCCAACATGATGCCAGAATACACAGCAGGATTTTCTCGACCATCACTGGACACAGTGCCTAAAGTACTTAATTACAGCGCCTAAGCAAAATGAACAGAAAAAAAAATATCCTTAGACACGTTTCACCATCATTTCTGGTTGAATGAAAAGTTCACTGCTCTCTGAAAGGGCATACTTGAATTATTATGCCATTATATTATCATTATATTAGTCACATGAAATGGTCTTAAAATGACAATAATACCATTTAGCATAATTATTTCTGGTACAATATATCATCCAACAAGAGTAGTTACCATGACATTCCTAGTGCTGTGAGTCATATTTTGCAGACTGTTTTACCAGGTGAGTTTATTGTGTGAGCCATGGATGTATAAAGAGAACTGGATACAGCATTGGAGGCAGGTTCCCATTCATTCTTATGAAAGTTGCTCATTGGCACACAAAGCCAAAAAAGCTGAATTTCTGTGGTATCAAATTACATGGGTCTTCCGCATCCTGGGGCCCACAGAGCAAGCGCACTAGAGATCTAAAACGGCTGAGTGTGGCTGAACGGCTAACTTCTGGTTTAGCACTCTGCTAACTTGAATGGGTATAGAATTGATTTAATGATGCCTCTCTTCTAGACTTTTATAATATAATATCGAACTGTATGGATCAAATCCTGACAGTGAAAAAGTCATTTTGCAGATGTTGCGACACTAAAAACAAAGGAAGTCCACTGATTAAGAGCTGTCTCTCTTTAACAGTGTAAATCAAAGGGAAACAGTCAATGGAATGAGGTAACAAACTCAGAAGTTGTAATTCCAGGTTTGGGCACTAAGTCAAATTTGTTTCAATGCCTGGCGCTATTCCTGGGAGCTTAGTCTATATTCATTATTAACATTGACACACTAAGACAGTTGGGAACATCAGTAGCTTTAATCACTTTAGTTGTTCTTTTATCTCAGACATGTATTAGGGTGTTATCTTGACATGTTTCGGCGGAAACCTCCACCTTCCTCAGAAGTGTCACTTGGTGGTGGTTGTGACACGTCTTTATCAGCTGATCTGTCAATCAGTTGTCAAAACTGACATGGTCACGACTCTCTAATATTAATAAAGATGGGTCACAACCACCACCAAGTGACACTTTTGAGGAAGGCAGAAGGCAATCCATCCAGACAATCAATCCAATAACAATATTTCACTAAAAAACACAAATGTGAGGGTCATGGTGGCACAAGGGTTAAATCACAGGGTTATCAAAGTCATTTATATTCACTGTCTGGGCACCATGAATGTGTGTATTGTGCTGGTTATAGCTGTATATATTTTTGCAGTCTGAGCCAAAGTGGACTGAGTGACTGTCAGACCAACACTGCCCTCCCTAAAGTCATACCACCAATGTGGCTAAAATTCAGTGACAGTGAGTCAGGCTCTCACAATACAGCTTCACATACTGCAAGTTCATGCCATTAACAGACACTTCAGGTGAACCTCATTCACATTTATGGCTAAAAGCAGGTGGATAAAAATCTGAATCTGAAAAAATTATGTTTGCAATCAGACAGATGGACAAAGAGGAAATACAACAGACAAGAGACAGGAGGTGCTGCAGAGGTCTCTCTG